ATATATTTCCTACCTCATATTCATGTATATCTCATGCAATTTTTTTATAGGTAAAATATTCACAATCAGATTCTGTGCTAATTAATAATAGTAGAGTGCCAAACGAACCGTAAGTCGCTTAGATCAAAAGTTGGTGGGAAATCGGAGGTAAAAAGCTGTGACATGGCTAGAATTGTTACCTACCATCTCCAGATCATGGATCCACTTGTCGTCAAAAAATCGTCCTGTGCGTTTGGGGGGTAGGGGGTAATTTATAAAAAAAATATGGATTTTTTTTTATTCGTGGAAAATATTGATGGGTTCCAGAACTTCCACCCTGTCGAGTCTTGATTTCGTGTGACAAGTAGAACAAATTATAGAAAATTTTGAAATTCACCGATTACATTACGATATATGAGAAAATCATATTTCAAACGGCTATAACTCGAAACTTGTAAATTTTCGTTGAATTGCTTTTTATATATCTCGCATTATCTCAGTAACTATAATGTTTATCAAAAAAATACTCAAAATAATGTCGATGCGCCTATGTTTCAAGATGGGAATGGTTCTTCGATTTTGAAAATCGAAGAATAAATAAGGAAGATATTGGGAAAATCATAATACAATGCAGGTAGTACGAAGGACGGCGACTCGCCGCTTTCATACCCCGATACTCCCCGCAACGCCCGCAGCCGTCCTAGAACGATCACCGTAAATATGAATTACTGAGTGTTACAAAATAGTACGATCTTGGAATTCAATTTATTTTAACTTGCTGTTTGATTGGAAGTGCCCTCCATTTATTTTATGAATTATTCTATCTCGAAAGTACATTTCTTATCCATATCAGAGTAAAATGTCAACCATCTCATTTATAAACAAATTGACAAATATTGAAACGAAACATGATGCATATAATATTGAGATAAAAATAAGATATCCTTGTGGAAACTTGAAAAAAACATTTGATACCTATCGAATTGCGAAGTTGTAAATACATACGTAAATACGATACAGTGTCCACAAGAACACAAAGCTACGATAATTTTTTTCGATCATGTCTCTTGATGAATCATTATTCCCAAACCAACGTGTTTCGGTGTGAGTTTTTTGACTTTCGAATTAGCGAGTATTACCTTGACATCAGATACTCAACACCTTTGAATCAACTGAATCAACTTTATCGTGTATAAGGCAACTAATTTGAAAGAAGTTTTTTTGGTATCATATCCTTGTAAGCATTGACATCCATATTTTTGGGTTGTTTATAATCTAGAATATCTCTCATATCTTGATAAATATCTCAAAAAAGTTTGTGTATTTGGGTCATATCTGATGCATACAAAGTCAGGGGAGTTATCTTCTGTAATTTCACTTTGTTCTTTATATGTGTATGAATCAGATGAGTTTTTGTCACTTGGAATCACAAATTACGACTCATTAGAACGTTTTGGAAGTTGCATTTTTATGTTGCGAACGGGAGCAGATTAGTTGCCGAAACGTCCAAAGAAACGAGGAGAGGAAATACCAAAAAATCAAGTAAAATGAATGTTTCACCTTCTCGATTAACCTATATACAGACAGTAATCTTCGATTAAGATTTTCCTACCAGTTTTGCCACCAAGTTCGGCATATTTTTGATATAAACAGTTGTAATATATACCCTTTTTCATTAGAAAATCTGCACCATCTATTAATTTTATCAGATCATCAAATTCTTTGTCATGTGTGGTATGACAACTTCATTCTCACTCAATGATCCTCTATAATGTTTCCAATTCGATACAAAGCATTGGTTATGATACTTGACTTCCATGGCAATAAACAATGTTGGTAGTCAATACTAGGTCAAAACTTGACTCTTATTTGAACGTTTTTGGTAGAAAATTCTTTTAGACAAATCAAAAATACCTTCACATCAATTTCACTATAGAACGCGTTTTATTCCTGACATTATTGTCTCCAGTTTTCAATATTCCTGTGCTAGAAGATCGATTGACCATTATTTTCATTGAGAATATTATCAATTTGCCTCGCATAGTTTTTTCCGAGGTTTTTTCTTATATTCATATACAACTTTCAAATGTTTTTATCGATAATTCTGTACAACGAAGGAGTTGACCATCTTTTCCACAAATGAAACATTTTCTCGATGATTCTGTACTCTGCTGGAAAGGAATCTTCAACTTCAAGACATATTCAAGATCAGTGTCTGAATTGCTAGTACTTTCCATCTTTTATCTAGAGAAACATTTATTTCATGATAAATTTACAATAATAGATTTCGTTAGCTGATCAATACTTATTTAATTATTGAAACAGAACACACAGTACCAAATATCGAAGATTAATTCACAATAAGTCACCATTAGATGCAACGGTCAACGCCTCAATGTTGATGTGTATAACGAAAGCGTATGGAACCATGATAGCCGCGGGTATTGCATTGCATTATGATTTTCTCAATATCTTCCTTATTTATGCTTCGATTTCCAAAATCGAAGAACCATTCGCATCTTGAAACATAGGCGCATCGACATTATTTGAAGTATTTTTTTGATAAACGTTGTAGTTACTGAGATAATGCGAGGTATATGAAAAACAATTTAACGAGAATTTACAAGTTTTGAGTTATAGGCGTTTGAAATATGATTCTCTCATATATCGTAATGTAATTAGTAAATTTCAAAATTTTCTTTAATTTGTTCTACTCGTCACACGAAATCAAGATTCAACAGGGTGGAAGTTCTGAAACCCATGAATATTTTCCACGAATAAAAAAAAAATCCATATTTTTTTATAAATTACCCCCTACCCCCCAAACGCACAGGACGATTTTTTGACGACAAGTGGATCCATGATCTGGAGATGGTAGGTAACAATTCTAGCCATGTCACAGCTTTTTACCTGCGATTTCCCACGGGGTGAACGATAGGATTCGATTGGCACTCTACTATAAGTAACTGAGGCTTGGGCAAGTAAATAAGGAACATGCAGTTTCATGTACTGATGTATGTGCTTTGTGGCCCATGCCACCACTCTCACCATGATTGTGCCCATCATACCAATAGCAGAAATGGCCATAGGTACAGTTGCTCTGACTGGTTCAATACAAAATCCCTACTATATCTTCAATGTCCAAGAAACACCATTCACAAATTGCTTTGAAGTTTCATGCTGAAGTTATAATACCTGGACTTTTGAGTGGATATTAATTTCACCAGAAGTGAACTATTGGTGTAAGTGTTCAAGTGCTGATGATGGAACCCCTATGACTAGTTGTGACAGTGATAAAGGGTTCTATTTTGAATGTGTAGATATTTTAGGTACACCAGAATCAGCATGGTTTTGTGAATTCTGATTCAACATGTTCTATAAAAAAATATGTACCTATTCATAATAAATATATCATTCAATCATTGTTTATTATTGTTTCAATCAGATCACTGAATAACTATAATGTTCTATGAAGATTTTTTTCATAACTCATGTAGATCTTTTGTAATATAGTGGAATAATACAATGTATTTTTCATTTAATGAATATTACAATTATTTTGATATACTTACTTTATTTGTCTTACATTTATAAATGATAAAAATAAATCACAACAAACTGTAATTTGTAAAAGTACTTATAATCTTGTAAATTTTCACCTTGTTTTCACCAATTTCTCTTCTTCTCTTCTATTTCTTTATCTCCCAGGACACTTTCTTCATTATACTAAAATAAATAAAAAATGATGTAGTAGTAGTATTAGGTAATTAGGTGTTTTCTTGAGAACATACCAGGTCTCTCGGTTCTGATGCTTGATTCATGATTTGAACCTTTTGTCTGCTCTCAGTTTTTGATCCACATCAGTCTTGCATATTTCAAATGGACAAGAGATTGATGACCCATATTATATTGCAATGGGACCCAAGCTGGATATTCTCATCTTTCAGGCACTACGTTCTCCTACAAGGTAGATGATTTATTTATGTATTAGAAACATGATGTTTCCAAACTATGTAAGTCCATTAAAAGTAATGAGTATTGGTTTATTTCATCAAAATGAAAAAAAGATAAGTTTTCCATAGGATGAAACACTAAACTCATCAGTTCTAGAGTAGGTAGGTACATATAAATAATATTAAAATCCTTTTTCTTAGGTACCTGTTATGGAAATAGTGTCTGACACATATCCTCTGGTTTATTATGATTGATTCTGTTGCTGATTCTTTCTCTTGATGGCTGCTATCCACATTTCCCTTATTTTTCTTGATAGATCCTTCATCTGTGGGTAATGCTCAGAGTTTTTCACAGTATTACAGTAGGAATGTGACAAAACAGCAAATGGTCCCGATCTGCACTGCTTCCACAATCCACCACAATTCACGTTACTGGCAATTTTTTCTTTGAAATCATACTGAGTTTTCATTATTCACAATAAATCTAGCCGAAACTCGATGAAATAATACTGTAAGAGGCTTCCAAAACCCACAAAGTTCTCAAGTAAACAAACTTGACTTTGGTTTATTTGCCAACCAGACGCCATTTTGAAATTATTTGACAGGTCGTTGGATTGCCTAATTGATGGAAAGGTTATCAGGGCAAACTTTTTTCGCTGTCATCATGACAAAATCACGCGGCTTGTGGGACTTTTCATACATTACATTAAACAAATTGAATTGTCGTTAGTAAACATCATGGTTCAAACATGTACAACCACTCGGTTAATGTTGTGATATAGATAGGTACAGACAGGATTGTAATGTACAATTTTCGTTCTTCTAGAAAAAAAAAAGAATAGACTTCCGTTGACCGAACAATAAGAGTTGGAGGCGGTTGGTGATGATTTGTTGGAGCTCGAGTCAGAGCCTAGTGAAGATGATAAATCTGATGATGTTTTCGAGAATATTGAGGATATAGTATATATAATCGTTCATTGTGAAGCGTTGACATTAACTATGGATTTTCATCTCAAGTATAACAGCCAAGTCAGTAAGAAAATCTTCAAAATCTTCATTGGTACTCACTTTATTTTCGAATAATTTATCCAGAACTTGTTGAGCACATTGATCTTTCTTCTTCCTAACCAGCATATACAAAGTGGAAGTTTCTGTGGTGCTGAGTATTTTCTCAACCAGGATTGAACCCATGAATCCAGTTCCTCCTGTTATGAACACATTGCTAGATTTGTAAAAATTTTGTATTGGTGAATCGGTCATTGTGTTGTCAAAATCGCGAAATGAATGAAGATCCCGACGAGAATAAGAAATCTGAAAAGATAAAATCCCTACTCTGATGATTGTGGAGACAACTGAAATCTTTCGTCAAATAAAGCAGGTTTTTGTTAGATTATAATGATGTTATTCAAAGAGATAACTGAAAATGAATTTGTTGAATTGATTAAAATGAATTTCCTCTAGCACCTTGATACTTTGTTCAATACAGAGCCGTAACTATGATGGATGGGGCCCTTGGCGAACATGCGCCCAAGGTCGAGAGAGGATAATAACCTGATTATCCCTATTTGTTGAATACGGGGCCCTTGGCGAACATGCGCCCAAAGTCGAGAGAGGATAATAACCTGATCATCCCTATTTGTTAAATACTGTCTGTAGGTTAATCGAGGAGGTGGTTCATTCATTATCTCAGATTTTTTGTGATTTTCTCTCCTTGTTTCTATACAATAAAAATATGAATATAATTTCAATATACATGAAGTAAGGACAAATCAGATGTGTTACATCCTGTAGATGTTTTACATCCTGTAGATGTTTATATATGTTTGACACAATTTGATATCCAGATTGACATTGTAAAAAAATGAAGGTTGTTGAAATAAAAGAGAAGATTTGGTTTTGAACTTGTCTAAAATACGAGTTTTATTGAAAAATACGAGGTTTACTGAAATTTGATATTAAAACGAAACAACAGTTGGTCCTTTGAATCCGAATACGATAATCAAGCGATGGAAAACCTAAGGAAAAGTACTAGAAAGGGAGCAGGTATCAATAGAAGTTTGTCCCTGAATTATGTCTGGCCTAGTGGATTTGGTAGAAAGGAAAGAGAAGGTGTGGAAAGTCGAAAGGAAACATCTTCTAACTACCATGACAAAATCCACGAAGACAGCAGGTCAGTAGTGACGAATTTCAATTACGGTGCAGTCCATGGAGATGATGATGGAGCTCATAGTGATACCAGGTCTGTGATAAGTGCGAATTCCCAGGCCAGTTTGAGATTTCGCAAAAAGCAGTTAGAGTTAGAAGTAGAGACCGAGAAGACAAGACAGAAACTAGAGCTGCAGCAGAAGGCGATTGAAAATGAATTACGTCTACTAGAATTGGGGCGGCAGTTGCAAGAAGCGAAGATAATGGAAGCAGAGGTAGCCGGAGAGCTCCAGGAAGCAGAGAGAGGGGACGACGGTGAGAAGATCTACGCAGAAGCGACGGAGGAATGGGTAGAGAAACTGCAGCATCCTGGGAACCTGGGCCATCCGGAAAATCTGAATCAACCAGAGATTTCGGAAGCGAGGTCTACTAAAGGTGAGTTTGTCGTTAACAAAAGTCACGGTGACAATGTCATTAAATTTTCTGAAAAGGGTAATAACGATAGTCCACCATCTGAGAATAAAGATATTAAGTTACTTTGTCAAACGATTTCCAATTTGGTCCAGAGTATTAGTCCAGATCATTCTGCCCAGAATAAGATCATTGCTAGGCAAACCGTTGAGAAGGATTTTCCCACCTTCGATGGTTGTCCTGAGGATTGGCCTCTATTTCACAAGTCCTTCAATCGCATATCCAGTATGTGTGCCTACAGCGAAGAAGAAATGGTCATCAAGCTGAGGAAATGTCTCAGAGGTGAAGCGAGATCCGCAGTTTCAGGAATGATGATGTCGGGAGACAATGTTAAACTTATTATGGATACACTTGAAATGCGATTCGGTAGGCCTGAGTTCATTATTGAAGTAATAATCTCTAAGATAAATACGTTGCCTTCAATGAAAGAGGTGAATATTGATAAATTGATAATTTTCTCGAATGAAGTCGGAAATCTAGTTGCAACCATGAAATCCTTACATTCTCTAGGTCATATGCAGAATCCTCAACTAATCAAAGACCTTGTAAGCAAACTACCGGATGTTCTCAAACTCAAATGGGGAGAAGTAGTTTTCAGTAAGAGAGGCTCAGTGGATATGATCGATCTTTCCCAGTGGTTAACCCAGACTGCGAGTGCCGCATCTTACGTCACCTCTTCTAGAATTCCTAAATCAACTGAGACAGCAAGAATCTTCAAGAAAATATCTTATCCTCCCAAGCGCCAGGAAGCAATATTCAATACCAGGGAAGTGAAAGAGGAATGTGAATACTGCGACGGAAAAGATCATGTGATAGGAAAATGTAAGAAAATGATAGCAGACGACGTGGATACTCGGTGGAACACTGTGGTTGGTAATAAACTATGCTTTTCTTGTCTTCAACATGGACATCCCAAATTCAAATGTAAAAATAAGAAAGAATGTGGCACGAACGGGTGCAAATTGAGGCATCATACACTTTTACATAAAAAAGTTTCAGAAAGGTCTGAGGAACCAAGATTTGAAGTAGCAACTCCAAGCACCAGTAGAGAAGTTTACACGGTCCAAGAAAGGGAAAGAACTGTTCTACTTCGCATGATTCCAGTAATACTGTATGGACCAAAAGGCAGTTTGAAGACACTGGCATTATGCGATGAAGGATCCACAGTTACTTTAGTGGACAAAATGGTGGTAGATAAACTTGGATTGGTTGGCATAGCAGAACCACTCTGTCTACGATGGACTGGTGACATTGTATCAAATCTGGAGAACTCTTGTAAGGTAAATCTAGCAATCTCAGGTATAAAAGATGACTCGAAGATATTTGAAATATCAAGTGCTAGGACGTCAGGAGACTTATCTTTACCAGTTCAGTCAGTCGAGATGAAAACATGGAAGAAATATTCCTATTTGAGCGATCTTCCTATCGATGATTTTGTGAATGAAGCTCCGATGATTCTTATAGGCCAGGACAATGCCGATTTAATCGTTCCACGACAGACACGAAGTTCTGACAACCAACTACCTGTTGCCACGAAATGTAAGTTGGGGTGGTCATTACATGGACCGTCGTCTAGTCAAGGAAATATAGTGGCACATACGTTGCATATGTGTGAAAAGACGGAAGATGACAGACTGGAAGACTTAGTGAAAGAATCATTCTCAACTGAGTCCTTTGGAATACTTCCCACAACAAGAAAACCGAATAGTGAGGACAAGAAAGCATTGGACATCATGGAGAAGACAGCCAAACGGATAGGAAATCGATTTGAAATAGGTTTACTATGGAGGTCAGATAATCCACAACTCCCAGAAAGTAGATTCAATGCATTCCAACGTCTAGTATGCATGGAACGAAAATGTCGACGAGATAAGGAATTTGCAACAGCCTATAGAGAGAAAATCGATTCATACCTCCAGAAAGGATATCTGAAGAAGTTGACTCCAGAAGAAGCTGCTGTAGAACCACCTCACACCTGGTACTTGCCACATTTTGCTACCACTAATCCCAATAAACCAGGAAAGATTCGTCTAGTCTTCGACGCAGAAGCAAAGTCACACGGTATAAGCCTGAATGATAATTTGTTGACTGGACCTGATTTATTGCAACCTTTGGTAGCGGTTTTGTTGAGATTTCGACAAAGGAAGGTTGGCTTCAGTGGAGACGTTCGGGAGATGTTCCATCAGGTGAAAATACGACGAGAGGATAGATGTGGACAACGGCTTCTCTGGAGAAACTTAGACTGCAGGAAAGACCCTGATATCTACGAGATGCAGGTGATGACCTTTGGAGCTACCTGCTCTCCTTCATGTGCCCAGTATATTAAAAATTTGAACGCACAAGAGCATGCTGATTCACCTGATATCTTGGCAGCTATAACCCGAAGGTTTTATGTCGATGACTACTTGGACTCCAAGGACACTGAGGAGGAGGCAGTCCATACAATCGATGCAGTGAGACGTGTTCAACTGCTAGGAGGATTTGAAGTAGTGAATTGGACATCGAATTCAACCAAGGTGATGAATGTTCTTGGAGAAGATGTGGTTGATCCCAAATGCTTCATTGATAACAAAGAACGAATGCAAAGAGTCTTGGGAGTATGGTGGGATTTTAAAACTGATGATTTCAGGTACAAGGTGCAACATAGCGACATTTCAGGAGGTTTGATTACAAAAAGGAAAATTTTGAAAATTGTGATGTCTTTGTTCGATCCTCTAGGTCTTCTCAGCAGTCTAACGATAGGAGCTAAAATACTTCTGCAAGATATATGGCGAGCCGGTACCAGCTGGGATGATGAAATACCTGAGGATCTTCAGAGGATATGGTTGAGATGGCTAGACGAGCTCAAAAGAACTACTGAATTGAGGATTCCTCGATGCTATTCGACACTGATTTCCAGTCCTTCAGAGGTAGAGCTACACATCTTCTGTGATGGCAGTGAGAAAGCATTTGCATCCTTGGCTTATTTGAGATTTTCAACATCCACAAGAATAGAAACTGCCCTAGTCATGGCGAAGTCAAGAGTATCTCCCTTGAAGCCTCTGTCGATACCTAGGTTGGAATTGCAAGCCGCAGTCATGGCAAGTCGACTCGCATCTACCCTTAAAGAAGAACTAGAGATACATATCAGTCATATTCACTACTGGTCTGATTCAAGATGCGTCCTCAAATGGATAAAAAGCGATGGGCGAAAATACACGCAGTTTGTATCCCATCGGATTGGGGAGATACAGGAGAGATCAGATCCAAGAAGTTGGCATTGGATAAGTACCAAATTGAACATCGCAGATTCGGCCACTAGGTATAAAATCGACGAGGAAAATGCGATCTTCAGTAGAAATTGGTTCACTGGACCAGATTTTCTGAGACAATCTAGAGATGATTGGTCGAAGGAAATTGGCCAAGATGACGAAGATCCAGATAATCCAGACATGATTGAGGACATTTCGGAATTGAAACCCGAATTTATAGGAAATGTCAACGAAGAGGAAACCGAACCTATAAGAATTCTAGATTTTTCTAGATTTTCAAAATTTTTGAAATTGATAAGGACTGTTGCTTGGGTTTTGAGATTTGGGAAAATATTGAAAAATAGAATTCTGAAGGGATCACAGCAATTTGAAAAGTATTTATCAGTGGAAGAGCTAGCCAAGGCGAAAACCCTCTGTATTCGAATTTCTCAAGAAGATAGTTTT